AACCTTCTTCCTTGCCCGATTAAATAGAGTCACCAATATATAGACTGACACATACATTTATACACGCATATACATGTGTATAGTCCTGTATCGATTCGTAAAGGGACATTTAATCCCATGCTCTTCGGTGTCTCCTCATACGGAATATAGACGACAATGAGGAGGAAAAGGAAGGGGGTGAAGAAAAGGGAGTCTTTTCTTTCGTTATTGTGTGTACTCGGAGTGACTAACTTGTTCTTAGATAAAAATGGAACAAAATTTAAATAGATAGATAGACAGAGACTTTATCATCAATATCTTTTTTTTTTTTTTTTTTCTTTTTTTTTCATCCTTTTTTTATTCGCGACAAAGTCTGACGATTAATTGTTCTCGGTGAGATACGAATGACTCTCTTTGCTATAGAAACGAGAAAGAGAGAGAGAGAGAGAGAGAGAGAGAGAGAGATTAACATTCTAAGGCTTCAGAGATTACTTCAAAATGACCTTGTAAAAATTTATATTGTGATCAAAGAATCGACATATGACGTATGCGAATTACAAAAAAAGAAAAAAGAAAATGAAAATGAAAAATAAAAAATGAATAAAAAGGAAAGAAGAAGAAAGGAAATAAAAATAAAATTCCTCTATGAAACCGTAGAATTTTTTTCTCTTAATATTTTATTTTACGTTCATAAAAGATCGTATGGTCAAGGATAGGTTAAATGAACATTATTACATTCTAACGACTACGACCAACGCGTTCTCTTAATTTCCTTTAACGGATCGAATAAAAATATGTATGTATGTACTATATATATATATATATATATATATATATATATATATATATATATATATCTATATCTGGTAGATATGTATTACATAGATAAATACGTATCGTTCGTATGTAACTCCATGTTTTATTTTACAATAATGTTATATAGACAAGGTAATGAAATACTTTCGAAATGGCGCGATGGACAACGAATCGCGATACGCATGCTGTTTTCCTCTCCCTCTATTTTCCCCCACCCTCTCTTTCTCTCTATCTTTCTTTCTCCTTCCCTCCCTCTCTCTCTCTCTCTTTCCCTCTCTTTCTTCCTCTCTTTCTTCCTCTCTCTCTCTTTCTTTCATTTTGCGAGACCTAATTTCCATTTTGCCATATATGGTCGAGGACGCGATGTGCGCTAGCGAACGAACAATAAATTTGAAACACATTACTTTTCCTTGAGACATACACACGCAAACACATGTAAAGTCGCTAAATTTAAATAATTATATAATGTATGTATATATATATATATGTATATAATTAATATTTAAACGTTGTTATTGAGACCAAAACTATGAACGCATCCCGCGCAAGACAAATGTTACGTTAAAATATTTTTTTAGCCCCAACCAAATCACATTTAAATACCACTGTTGTTTTTCTTTAAGCCTATTGCAAATGACAAAATTTTACGATTTTAACGATCGTATTGTATTCATTATTGTGTTATTATTTCTCGTTAAAGTTGTAATCAAACGAATTATCAATGAATTGTACGTCCAGGTTTTATTGTCATGGAGATATCAATATGTATAGAATAAGTTCATTTAGAATTCTTAATCCATTTTGGGCACCTTCATTATTTCTTGATTATTTTCAAGACATTAATTTTTTATTAATATATATATATATATATATATATATATATATATTAATAATAATTTATATTAATAATATATATATATTAATAATTATTATATTAATAATGATATAATAGTTGAAAAAATAATCAGTTTTATTGCACGTATTTTGCAATAATCATATAAGATTAAAATCATCGATCCCACAGGAAACGTTCACTTCTATTTGTATTAATTAATGATGAGTATATTGTAAAATAAATAACCGTTATATATGAATATTTTAATTAATATAAATAATTAAGTATCAGAATTGCGTAAATTATATTACGTAGTGATTGATATTTTATTATAATTATACCAATTACATTTATTTTAAATATTGACCCGTTTAAAAATACTGAATAAATAAAACATTTGATCAAAACTTTAACGATCGTGTCAACAACGTATATTAATATTTTCTTGAGATAACTATAATTATCTTTGGTATACAATGAGTGTTAAATGTTGAATGACTATAGTCATTTTCAATAAGAAAAGATTTAAGGATCGTAAAAAGAAAAGTATATGGATTAGAAATACTTATCTGGATAAGTATTGGAAATAGATAACATGCGAAAGTTATAGATAGTAATCTCCTTCAATCAATCTCGAAAGCTCGACACCGGATAAATCTTCGCGACGAAACCGATTCGCTCATCTTCGTAATTGCGTAAGACTGATTCATAGGATGACAACATAAGATGACCTTGAAAATGCCAAGAGAGTCTTGTTGTAGACAAAACGATTGTATGCAATGTAATACGCAAGTGTAATTCCGTTCTAAGATAAAATGTCTTTGTTTAATTAGTTTCATCATTACGAACGTTCGAGCATTAATATAATGCACGATTTCAAGTTACTCATAAGTGAGAAACTTTCTTTAGTTTTCGTTTTCAAATGGAAAAGAAAAAAAAAAAATATATATATATATATATCGTTTGAAGAATATTAAAGAATTGTTTTTCTTGCTTTTTTTCAAGTGGGATTTTTTTTTTTTTTTTAATTGGAAAAATCATTCTTGGCAAATTTATTTTAGTTTTATTAATCTTTTATAACGGTATATAACTTTGCACACGATTCTTTTTTTTTTTTTTTTTTTTTTTATCACGCCACAGCATTACTTATTAGTTAATATTATAAATTTTTTATATGTTTTATAATCAATCTTTAGTATATTATAGTAATATAATATAGTATATTATATAATATACATTATCTAATATGGTGTATTTTATATAATATAATATATTACATTATATCAATACTTATTTTATACTATACTAAATATAACAATTATGCCAGTATAATAATGTAATACTATAACTATTTTACATTATGTAATTCTTTTCGTAATATATTTAAAAAAAAAAAAAAAAAGAAATTAAATTATCGACGATTAATATCTTTTTATTTTTTTGATATTTTCACAACTTATATTTTCATAAAAAGAAGAAAAAAAAATGGAATGAATTCGAAAAAAAAAACAAAAAGTAGGAACAAAAAATACGATTTTCTTATACGTATTTGTAATATTGCGATAATAGTCGATACGTCGAGCTCAGTGTCAATGTATACGAGGATAAGTTTCTTCGGTAATTATCGTAAGAGGCACTTAGCGTAGCACTCCCACGTTGTCTTTTTTCTTTCTTTCTTCTTCTTTTTTTTTTTTTTTTTTTTTTTTTTTTGTTGTCTTTTTCTTTTTCTTTAAAGGCCGAGGCCCTCCATTACTCGCGACATGTAATACGCAACTTCATTTTCGAAGGCACCGCTCGCTCGTGTAGTCTTGACCGATTCGACGCGTGTAACCGCGTATCGCGTAATGTCTTACGTAGTTTCAAAATTTAATCTCGATTTTGTTTTTTATTATTTCCCTGCTCGAGCAATGCCGCAAAATTTCAACTGCTTCAGATTCTTCGATCGGACTGACAACAGCTTCGAGCAGAAACGACGTGTTTCAAGACAACGGATCGATGATTATTTATCCAACACTTATAGTTAGTAACGAGTCAAAATAATTTTCTAAGAGGATTTCTTTTTTGTTTTCTTTTTCTTTTTTTTTTATTTTTAATCATTTCGATATAATTGCGAATAATTTTTACAAAGAATATCAACGGTCATAGTCTATTTTAATTCTTTAAATTGATTAAGAATCGTTAAAATAAAAGATCATTTTGAGGTCTTTATGTCATGATGTTAATCAATAATTTTAATATAAATAAAAAACCATTTTTAATTATATTAAAATTATGTATATAATAAAATATATATGTATATAATGTTAATATAATTAAAAATGATTTTTTTATATATAACTTTTTGATTTTTTTATATAAAAAGAAACAATCGAGTGTAATTAACAAACATAATATAAAATAAAACATAATTATTTCGTGGTCAATGCGTCACAATGTAAATAAGTAATTTAAATTTTTCTTTCTTTTTTAATTTTAATACCGTTAAAAATAATATATATATATATATATATATATATATATATATATATATAAAGAGGAAAATTATTTCGAAGGCAACGTAGCATGGACGGTAATATTATTTGAAAAATAAACAATTACTTTCGTGAGATATTTTCCGATATAGGGCAAGCTCTGATCGTAGTCGTTAATGTAAACAATAATAAACGATCGACGTGGATCCGTGGTACCTTGACAGATCGATAACAATTCAGTTGATCTTGATACTCCTTCAAGTATAGACGTAAATTTCTCATTTCTAACAAGTGAAAGATCGCTACAGTTCAAAGGCAATTAATTTTCCATGATATTAGATGTTTAACGTAACGTAAAGGCAATTAGTTTTCCATAATATTAGACACGTCTATAACGATTTATAATACGGAACTTTTCAATTACTTACAAATGTTAAATATTATTTTACATCGATTCGTGTTTCTAACGGCAACATTTCATTTCTATATTTAACTTTTTCTACGTTTTATTTAAACGTTCCGAAATGACGTTCTATTCGATTTTAGAAACGACTTAAAAACGTTCCTACGTTTATCGTATTAACGACATTTAAATAGATAGTAACATTGTTAATACTTTTATGATAGTACTATATGTGAACGAAATACGTCGGAATTTAAAAAAAAAAAAAAAAAAAAATAAAGAAAAATACAAAGAAAAAAAAGAAAAAGAAAAAATAAAAAAAAATAAAAAAAAAAAAAATAAAAAAGGAAGAAAGGAAACAATAAATAATAAGAAAGGGCATTCATTCGATAATTGAATTATTATAATTTCGAAAGTTATTTTTATTTTAAAACAATTAGATAAGAAATTGGAATAATTTTTGTTATAACTCGATATTTTTTAAAAATTGTTTTAGGGGTGTTGGAGATGGCTGCTACGGAGAGTACTATTCGATTTAGCGGGCACACGTTGGATAAAGCTACGAAGGCCAAGGTAAGAAGAAAATCTCTTGAAAAATCTGGGCCACTCTCTCTCTCTCTCTCTCTCTCTCTCTCTCTCTCTCTCTCTCTCTCACTCATCCTTCTCTAACAAATCGTATTTTATCTCTTCTCTCTCTCTCTCTCTCTCTCTCTCTCTCTCTCTCTCTCTCTCTCTCTCTCTTTCTCACTCATCCTTCTCTAACAAATCGTATTTTATCTCTTCTCTCTCTCTCTCTCTCTCTCTCTCTCTCTCTCTCTCTCTCTCTCTCTCTCTCTCTCTCTTTTCTCACTCATCCTTCTCTAACAAATCGTATTTTATCTCTTCTCTCTCTCTCTCTCTCTCTCTCTCTCTCTCTCTCTCTCTCTCTCTCTCTCTCTTCTCTTTCTCTCTTTCTCTTTCTTTCTGTCTGTTTTCCTTTTTTTTTTTCACACTTCACAAAAGAAAATAGAGATCGATCGAACAAAGTCAATTTATCTTGAACATCAATGAGACTTTCTCGATAATTACAAAGTAAACTCGGAATGGTTATCATTCTTCCCTTTCCCTGCTACGTATGTATTATTTTTATTTCAAATCGGGAACAGTTTTTCTTGTCTGATTGTCTTGTCGATCAATTAATCTGTCTTTTTTTATTTGTAAAATCAATTTCAGTAGAATCGTACGTATTTGCTGGAGTATTATTCTTGAAAAGTGAAAATCTTTTGAAAAAAAAAAAAATAAAAAAATAAAAAAATAAAAAAAAAAATAAAAACAAAAAATAATATATTTTTTTTTCTTTTTATTTTTTTTTACTGTCTCTTTTATATGTATATATATGTAAACCACCAAATGACCATGTTTGAATTATTATTAATGAATTATTATTAATATAATTATAATTAATAATACGATGTAAAAATAATTAATATAAAAAGAATCCAATATAAAAAGAAAATGTTTTTCATAAAAATCTCAAGAAAGTATTAAACGAATTAGAATTAATATATTAAAACAATTAAAGATTAAGAATTGTTTTTTTTTTTTTTTTTTTTTTTTGAAATTATTTAATTATTAATATCCACAAAATGTTTAAAGAAAAAGAAAAAAGAAAAAAGAAAAAGATAAGGAAAAGAAAAAAAAGGAGTGCCGGTCGATCGATAATCTCAGACTAGCCGCGTGTAGGGAAAAACAGGAAGCTTCCTTTTAAAAAATTAAAGCACTTAGCTGTTCCCTCTCGTATCTCTCTCTTTTTTTTTTCCTTCAGGTAACGTTGGAGAATTATTACAGCAACTTAATAGCCCAACACATAGAGAGGAAGCAAAGGCTAGCAAAATTGGAGGAATCATTGAAGGATGAGGGCCTTTCAGAGCAACAAAAGCAGGAGAAGAGATTGCAACACGCCCAGAAGGAAACAGAATTCCTAAGATTGAAAAGGTCCAGGCTTGGCGTCGAAGATTTCGAGCCACTCAAGGTCATCGGTAGAGGGGCCTTCGGCGAGGTAAAAATGTCACCAGTTTTTCTTTTTTTCCTTTTTCAGACTGCTAAGATTATTTTTCCTTTTTATCTATGCTATTATTATTATTATTATCATTATTATTATTATTATTATTATTATTATTATTATCATTATTATTATTATTATTATTATTATTATTATTATTATTATTATTATTATTATTATTATTATTATTATTATTATTATTATTAACTATATATTTTTAACGATCGTAAAACATGAAGCTCGAAACGAAGTTTACGTTTAATATGAAAATTTCATTTAACCGTTTAAATGAACTTTCTTCGTTAATGTCTACTCGTTTGAAAACAGGTGAGACTGGTACAAAAGAAAGACACTGGTCACGTTTACGCTATGAAAATATTGAGGAAAGCAGACATGCTAGAAAAGGAACAAGTTGCTCACGTCAGAGCTGAAAGGGATGTTCTCGTCGAGGCTGATCATCAGTGGGTCGTCAAAATGTATTACAGTTTTCAAGATCCCATTAATCTTTATCTAATAATGGAATTTTTACCGGGTGGTGAGTTCTTTAGTAGGGAAAAATCTTTTCTTTCATCGTTAGTATATAATAGAAGATGACGTTACAACATCGATTAATATATTATCTTTGTTATCATAATTAATAGGCGACATGATGACGCTTCTTATGAAGAAGGATACCCTATCCGAAGAGTGCACGCAATTTTATATTTCCGAAACGGCGTTAGCAATTGACTCCATACACAAATTAGGTTTTATTCATAGGTAAGATAAGAAAGAAAAAACAAAAAAAAAAAAAAAAAAAAGAAAAAGATTCGATTAGAAAAAATGAAGAATATTTCGTAGAATATAATTAACATATATCATTCTTTTGTCGTAATTTCAGAGATATTAAGCCAGACAACCTATTGTTGGATGCACGAGGCCACATAAAGCTGTCTGATTTCGGGCTGTGTACGGGATTGAAGAAATCCCACAGGACTGATTTTTACCGAGACCTAAGCCAGGCTAAACCTTCCGACTTCAGTACGTAATTATCGAGAATTTTATTTTATCTCTCTTATCTAATCGTTACGGCGTTATTCAATTTCGATATCGATCGATATTATACAGTGACGTCGTGTGGAAGTGGAAGCGGAGGTGCTATGGATAGTAAAAGAAGGGCTGAAAGTTGGAAGAGAAATAGAAGAGCTCTTGCTTATAGTACAGTTGGAACGCCCGATTACATCGCTCCCGAAGTATTTCTACAAACTGGTTACGGACCAGCTTGTGATTGTTGGTCTTTAGGAGTCATCATGTATGAAATGCTTATAGGTCTGACATCAACTATCAATTATTTTTTAACAATCTTCTTGATCTTAGATGTATGATCGTACGTTTCAAATAAATTCCAATGATATAATATATGTATATGTATATGTATATAATATATTCTTGTTGATTACAGGATATCCACCATTTTGTAGCGAGAATCCTCAAGAGACATATAGGAAGGTAATGAACTGGCGAGAGACGTTGGTCTTTCCACCTGAAGTGCCGATAAGCGAAGAGGCTAAGGATACCATAATCAGATTCTGTTGTGAAGCCGATAGAAGATTAGGTAGAGAGCATATATATATATATATATATATATATATATATATATATAAAATTAAATACAATTATATTATTTAGTTGTTCATTCTATAAACATTTTCCTTAACATTATAATATTTAAATGTGTTTAGGATCTCAAAGAGGTATCGAAGAACTCAAGTTAGCTCCTTTCTTTCGTGGTGTTGATTGGGAACATATAAGAGAGAGACCAGCCGCAATCCCGGTCGAAGTACGATCCATCGACGACACATCCAACTTCGATGAGTTCCCAGACGTTAAGTTAGAGATACGTAAGTGTACACGTATATTATAAACTATAGTTGTTGAACGGGAACAGCACTCGAACGATATAATACCCTTAACCTTCGAGAGTTGCTCGTATATCGAATATCGTTGACTCTCATATACGTCAGCCACTTGCTATCTGTTTCTCTGATAAATGTTCGTTAGTTCTCGATAAACGCGAGAACTTTGCTTCTATTTCTCTTACGTTCTTTTGTCCTTTTGCTTTTTAAAATTTAAACGTTCGTCCATAAAAAAAAAAAAAAAATAAATAAATGAGAGAACAAAATTTCGAACACTCCTTCACGTTCGATTAAATGCTCGATTGGAAAGATTCATTTTATTTCTAGAGAAATTTATTATATTTATATATATATATATATATATATATATATATATATATATATATATATAAATTAAATAAAACAAAATAAAATTCTTTAGATCTTTTACGAGGGAAACTAACTTCCTTTAGTTAATATAACTTTCTTTATAAAACTAATCTTCGAATCTTTGAATTGCAAACAAACAAAAAAAAAAACAAAACAAAAAGACGGATTATATTACAGCGTCAGCACCAATGCCACAGGACGGTGAGGTGATTTACAAGGATTGGGTGTTCATAAACTACACGTTCAAGCGTTTCGAGGGTCTCACGCAACGGGGAACTCCAACGAAAAAATAGCAACCCCCGATACCTTGCTCAAACATCAGCAATCACCAGAGCGACGCAATAGGAGGAATAGGAGTAGGATTAGGAGGTGGAGGTGGAGGAGGAGGTGGAGTTCCGGCCTTGGTACATCATCCTCATCATCATCCACCATTGTCCTCGACAACGTCGCGATCTACAGCTACGGCAACATCAACATCAACAACAGCAACAACAATTATATCATCAACAGCAACAACAACAACAACAACAACAAATGCAGCAACAACAGCAATAGACGGCTGAAGACAATTTCTCTTTGTCTTTCGTCTAAGACGTTCTCAATCTCTCTCTCACTTTTTCGTCCTTATAAAACAAACACAACGTGCATACATCCTGCATAATGTGTTGATTCCGATAGGGCGAACACATTGAGGAGAACTATTTTGTTACAATTCACGGAATGAAATAATAATGACGAGGACAATGCTGATGACAACATTGACGCTTTGATCAAGAGAGAACCCGGAGAATGAAATTGGGAGAGGTAGAGTAGGAGGAGGAGGAGGAGGAGGAGGAGGAGGAGGAGGAGGAGGAGAAGGAAGATGACACACAAAAAAAAAGAAAAGAAAAAAAATAGAAAGCAAGTGTAATGCAAGAAGAAAAAAGAAATTGGGAAGTTTTAAAAACGAAAAAAAAAAAGACAAAACAAAACAAAAACTAAAATAGACGTTTCTTCACTCTAGGATTGATTTATCCGACTTTCTTCTTCATTAATACAATAAGCTCTCTCTTTCTCTCTTTTTCTCTCTCTCTCTCTCTCTCTCTCTCTCTATCTATCTATCTATCTATCTATCTATCTATCTGTCTGTCTCTTTTTCTCTCTCAATTTGTTGTATGGCAAAGATTGTCGAAGAAAAAGTCGTAGAAGAGGGAAGGAGAGGGGGGAACGCTTCGGGTCCTAGAAAAATCCTCGTGTACATCGAGAAAACTAATTTTTACGTTTAAGCGTTTAGAATTTTAGAATCATTTATTAGATTTCTTTTCCTTCTTTTTCTATTATCTGTTTTTTTTTCTTTTTTCTTTTTTTTTTCTTATTCGTTAGATAACATTAACTCATCAGAGATAGATAATGATCGAGCTGTCGAATATAAAGCTCTCTTTCTTTCTCTCTCTCTCTCTCTCTCTCTCTCTCTCTCTCTCTCTCTCTCTCTCTCTCTTTCTTTCTTCGAAGGTCATTTGTATAAATGCATGCTGTGATACGAAATTGTTTAATAGTGCTGCGCGATGGTGCTTTCGTCGTGTGGCCGATAGTTTCATTTTCATTTTTCTTTTTCTTTTTTCTTTTCTTTTCTTTTCTTTTCGTGTTATTCCTTCTTTTTTTTTTCTTTCTTTCTCTTTAATCTCTTTTATTATAATAATCAATCCCAATTATGTCTCTGTATCATCGAACTTTGTCTCGTTTATATTAGAGATATATTGATAATATAATGTATACGTCGTTGATAGAGGGTTTAATTGAATTTTTAGATTGTTACTTCATTTATTTGTTCTTTTCTTTCTTTCATTTTTTTTTCCTCCTTCGTACGTCATAAGAAATATTAGGCGAGGCAATCATTTCGAAGCCAGTGTATCCATTTCATGTTTTATTTATTTTCGTTATGTATTATTAGATAATACAGCGATATCTAATAATAGGATTTGTTAATGTTTAGAGAATGTATGTTAGGCACGCTTTTTGGAGATATCAAGGGAGATATCGAAATTCAGTATAGAAATATGTTAAAAAAAAAAAAAAAAACAAAAAAACAAAAAAAAAAACAAAAAAAAACCAAAAGAAAATAGAAGAAAAAAGAAAAAAAAAGAAAAAAAAAGAAAAAATAAGAAAGAAAAAAAAAGAAAGTAGAAAGAAAATGTGCGATTTGCTTTATATGGATAAAATATGTTTCAGGAGAATAAGAAATTTCGAAATAAAATGGAAGAGCAAAAGTTCAGGTTAGAGAGAAGTTTTGAGAGAAGTTTTGACAAGTCGTCGTTGTTAAAAGATTTTTTTCTAAATTAATTTATCCCCCGTTAATTTATCGATTTTTTTCTTTCTTTTTGCTTTTTTCTTTTTTTTTTTTTTTTTTTTTTTTTTTGCTTTTTTCTTTTTTCTTTTTTCTTTTTTTTTCTTTTTTTTTTTTTTTTCTTTTTTTTTAGTCGCTATATAACACTAAATAGATCTCAATATGTGGCGAATCAATTAGGATTATTATTCTTTGTTTAATTACACCGTACACCTTAATGCGTCAATTATTTGTTAACAATTAATGAACGATCTAAAATTATATGAGTAATTTATTGGTCAAAAAAAGAATGAGAAAAAATTTTTTGTTTTCTTTTTCCAAAAAAAAAAAAAAAAAAAAAACAATGGAATTACACACTCCGGGTGGGTCTCTCTCTCTCTCTCTCTCTCTCCTCCCTCATTGTCATTGTGTCATCACTATCGTACACGTCCCTCTTTTCCTTTCACGCTTCCTTCTCTCTCTATATAATAATTACGAATTACGAATTACGAATTGCGAATGATTAATCGATTAATTAAGGTGTACGGCACTAAAGGAAAAAAAGAAAATGTAAAAGCAAAAAAATGTAAAGTAAAGAAAAGAAAAGAAAAGAAAAGAAAAGAAAAGAAAAGAAAAGAAAAGAAAAGAACGTTCCTAAGAAAAACGTGTAGACATGGAATCAGACACGTGAAATGGAAGGAAAGAGCTTAGACGACCGACCGAGCCGCCATTATGAAGAGAAAGAAAAAATGGAAGAAGAAGAAGAAAAAGAAGAATCATTTCAATAAAAGAGGAAAATGAAGAAGAAGAAGAAGAAGAAGAAAATATATAAAAAGAGAAAGAAGATGATGGAGAACGAAGACATACAAATTTTTCCTACTAAAATCTACCACCGAGAACACGCAAGAATATTATAAAGAAGGACACGCGAATAATATGCTTTTCTTTTTAAATAAATAAAATAAACAAAAACATTAATAATAATAATAATAATAATAATAATAATAATAATAATAATAATGATAATGATAATGATAACAATAATATTAATAATGATAATAATAATAATAATAATAATAATAATAATAATAATAATAATAATAATAGTAATAACAATAATAAAATAAATAAATGAATAAATAAAGTCGCTCCGTGAAATCGAGTCGCAAGATTAACGTGTAAGTTTTTTCTAGTAGTTCACATTAACCGCCCAGGGCACACCGGTATGAATATTTAAAACTATAGTATAAAATAATGATATAAAAAATAGTTAACGTTTAAGAGAGGCGACATACCGAGAGTACCTATTATACATACAATACATACACGAAAAAAAGCACGCACGAAACGTATCGCCGATCAAACGAAAAATGTAAAGAGACATTTAAAGGGAAAACAACAACAACAAAAAAAAAGGGGGAAAAAAAAAGGAAATGAAAAACAAAACACAAAAAAGAAGAGAGATTATTGACGGAATATAAAATGAAGAAATTATACTCCCTCTCGTACGTTCCGGCGTGACTGAACGGATTAAATATGCGAATCTTTTTATTAGTAAATCATAATCGCCTATGTGTATATTCGACAAGAAATTAGTTTCATACGACCCGAATGCCCCCACGTATTCTCTTAAAAAAAAAAAAAAAAAAAAGAAAAAAAGTAATCATTAAACAGATTAAATAAAATGAAATAAGAAGAAGAACAAGAAGAGGAAGAGGAATAAATGAAAAAGATATGAAATGAAACGAAATAAAAGAGAATTACATTCTCAATAATATATAGTTTCAAAACACTACGAAGAAGTACGAGATATAACTTAACGAGTAACTTAAGGGACAAGAGTAATTTTTAAAAAGTGAAACTATTTTCTGCAATTGCATATAGAGTTGAAGGAGAGAGAAAAAGAGAGAGAGAGAAAGAGAGAGAGAGAGACAGACAGAGAGAGAAAGAGAGAGAGAGACAGAGAAGAAAATAGAACAATGAGAGAGAAAGTAGGAAGTCGCTGTCGAAGTACAGATGCTCTGACGTCCATGCTACCTAAGTTAAAAAAAAAAAAAAAAAAAAAAAAAAAGAGAGAAAACTAGAAAAAAAAGCAGAAGAAAAGGGAAAAAAGAAAAAATAAATAATAATAATAATAAATAAATAAATAAATTAATTAATTAATTAATTAATAAATAGTAAAGAATACGAAGCGTGAGATCGCAATTTATTTATTTAAAAGTTTGAGAGATGTGAGAGAAGAGAAGTCTAAGTAAAAAAAAAAAAAAAAAAGGAAAAAAAAAGAGAAAAAAAGAAAAAAAAAGAAGAAATAATAAGAGTAAAGATAAAAATAAAAATAAAGATAAAAATACAACAATAGCCACGAGATGCCTTCGATGCAGCAAGAGTTTTTCGGTGCCCTGGAGCAGTTATAATATACACGTCAGAGAAAAAGAAACAAAACGAAAACAAAAGAAGAATGAAATAAAATAAAATACAAATGGAAGAGAAGATATATCTTTACTTTCGAAATAGAAACAGGACAATGGCGATATGAAAAAGAAAATAAATAAATAAATAAAAAAGAAAAAAGAAAGAAAAAAGAAAAAAAAATAAAACAGAAAAATAAAAAGAAACGCGCGTATGAGAGACCTTTTGGAATTTGGACGATGGAACAGAATAATAATTAAAAAACAAAAAAGATGAAAAAGAAGAAGAAAAAAATCGCAACAAATATTAAAATACATATGTGTATGTGTTCTAATCCAATTAAGCAACTGAACCGAACCGAACCGAACCGAATGTAGATTTTCACGTATAAGAAATCGAAAACCCGTTTTAAAAAAGTTGAAGGAAAACGTATGTTGTGTATGCGTGCTGCTTGCGTGTAATGCGTATATGAGTTTTAACATGTGTGCGAGAGCCAATTATGCATACTTGTATGTAAAACGTATTTCAGTATGAAGAAAATTTAATAGAAGAAGAAAAGAAAAGAAAAAAAAAAGAACAACAAAAAAGAAAGGAAAAAAGGGAGGAGAAAAACGCGGATCTTTAAAAAAAAAAGAAAAAAAAAAGAAAAAAAAAAGAAATAGATTGTCAATCACGAATTGATTATTTCGTTGACGTCGTCGTTGTATATGTGCGCGTGTATGATGTTGTGTGGCGTGCATGAACTGTAAATAACGAGTAGTCGGTTTTTTTTTTTTTTACACGTTGAATAACAATTATTTTATATTAATTATACATTTTTCTTTCGCGAGATTTTAAACTCACAGAAAGCCGGCGCTAAATCTTTTTTTCTTTTTTTTTTTTCTTTTTTCCTTTTTTCCTTTTTCTTTATTTGTTTCTTTTTTCTTTTTTTTTTTGTTTAATCGTCCATTTCATATCTCTTATAGGAAAAATATATATATATACATGTGCGTCATCTATATGTATATTATCTTCTTTTTCTTTCTTTTTTCTTTATATATATATATATATATCCTAGCAATTTTCAATATCATTCTAATGTTAAAAAAAAAATTTAATATCGATTTTGAAACGTTATAATTCGGAGCACATATAGATTTCTCTCTCTCTCTCTCTCTCTCTCTCTCTCTCTCTCTCTCTCTCTTTCTCTATATATTTCTATCTCTCTCCCTCTCCCTTTCTCTATCTCTATCTCTGTCAATCTTGCCCTCCCTTTCTATCTATCTATCTGTCTCTGTCTGTCTCTCTCTCTCTCTCTCTCTCTCTCTCTCTCTTTTTCTTTCTCTCTCTCTCCCTCTCTCTTTCATTCTATCTCTCTCTTTCTCTCTACTTAGCTAATTCTTACTGATTAGATGTTAGCAAAAAAAAAATAAAAACACACACTCATACGAAAAATAAAGTCAGTCTTTCGTCGAATCGTTTTGTCGTCCCTTCCCTGAGACGTATTCAGAACTCTTTCGCCTTTTTAATGCACGCAATTAGAGACTTTATTTTCGCTGAATGAAAATTTGTTTCTCGGTTAATGCGATTACGGTTCTTTTTTCCTCTTTGTTTCTTTTTCCTTGTTTCTTTTTTTTTTTTTTATTTTTATTATTATTATTCTATTTTTTTTTTCTATATATATTTACGTTTCTTTTTTTTTTTCCTTTTCGAACAGACCCACGCACGATCACGAAAGTGCTTGTTTATATCGCTTAAAATATTTTAATTAAATTTCGCCGAGAATTTAATTTTAAATGATGGATTTCGAAATACATAAATCCATCAACTATGAGACGCCACCTTGTACACGAGGTTTCGATTTTATTGCTCTTAAGAAATAAGAAAAGAAAGGAAATAGGGCGCAGTGATTTTAAGTGTGAACACATCGCGAAAAGAAAAAATAAAAAAAAAGGAAAAAAAAAAAGAAAAAAGAGGAAGAGAAAGGAGATGATAAAATACGTCCGAAGAAAGAATCTGAGATGGGAAATCTAAGAAAGAAATGGTCCAGGCGTATTTTTCCGTTGCGAACTTGGCTTAACGTGCTTAGAGCATATATATATATATATGTACATATATATATATATATATATATATATATATATATATATATTATATATAAATAAATAAATATAAAAATGAGAATAAATAAATAAAATATTATGTAAATCGATTTACACGATTAAAGTCACAGCTGCGTTTAGGAATCGTTCGTAAGGGAACGTTGACCGCAAAGGGCGAATAAAAAGAAAGACGGTGGAAAAAGAAGGAAAAAAGAAAATAAAGAAAGAGAGTAAAGAAAAATTCATGTCAAATGCGAGTGCGGATATTTTACGGTAGGCTTGTGATTAAATGAAAGAAATATTGCCGGATATGATATATCCAACCTTGGGGAAGAGGAAAGGATGTATAAAGAGAAGAAATATTGCTTTCCACATGCAGAATATACTATTGTAATTATGTCGTTAATAAATTGTTTTTTATTTTAATTTTCGCGTTTTCATTTTAGCGCAGGTAATGGCGAATAAACGATAACACGATAAGACACAATTGGTTCGATTAATAATGCATTTAGAAAGAAATAGCGAGAAATGCATTTCCTTATAATCGTAGCGACAAGAAGTTTAGTCATTTGCTAAGTACAAAGAGCCTACCACACGACACGCTCGACTAGTTGGTGTTTATTAAACGATCTCGAAAATAAATGTATTTTTGACGGGAGAACTCTCGTAGTTATCTGTTATTCTTAAATAGTAAAATTAGTGCAATGAATTTATTAAACAGACATTTTGCCTTTTTCTTTTTCTTTCTTATTTTTAAGATTATGAGAACATTAAAGAATGTGTAATAGTTTTAAGAGCAATTAAATTTGGAGCAAAAACAATTCTTTCTTGAGTGCTGCCATCTTGTGTTTTGTAACGTCATCCTTTTATTGCATACGATAACGTTGATACCGATAGTCATTAATTAAGGCATAATCGATGTTTATCGACTGCGATTATCAACGGTCGATTGTATTTATCGACGATAATATCGTTACACAAGATGGCAGTACAATGTTTGAAAATATTTAATTGCGCATGCTCGCACCATTGAAATACAAATGAGGTTATGTTATGGATCTCTTGATAGTATAATAATATGCCCAAAAAGGCAATTATTGTGAGAATTTTTTTTTTTTTTTCAATAATAAAGTATAGTTCTTGTTATCAAATATTTAATTATAATTATCTTAAATTATGTGTTATAGGTGCGACTGTGATATTAGAATTTCATTAAATTATTATTTTGTTGTTGTGCAACAAACATGTCACTGATATATAGTAAATTATGCTCAACTATTTTGGTAGAACACTTTGGCCCTATTGTACAGCGTGTAGGAAAAGACCTTTTTATACACGGTAGCAGAACATTACACCTTATACGACAAAGTACTCGTCTTCCTCTTGTTAAGGTAAAAATTTAACTTTTGAAATATATCAAGATTTATTCAGTTTCAATAATTAAATCTTGTAAAAAATAATTTTTAGGTGAAGGAATCCTTATGTACTCTTATTAAATATGGGCTTGTAAATTATTGGCAAAATGAAACATGTACAGAATATTGTTTATTACCAGACAAAATTATTTTAATGCTTCGATATCCAAGGTATTTTAATGGTTTATATGATACAATGATATCTGCCTTTATCTCATAAATATATCTAATCTTATAGGTATATGTTCTTTGTAAAAAATGTATGCGGAGATGAGTCAGAGATAATGCTGGAAGAAGTCCTGAAAAATGGATCTTTAACGTCATCGCAGACTATAATGAATGCATATAAAAAAATTCAGCAATCTGCTAGTAAGCATTCTATTTATATAATTACATTAATTTATGTAAAAGAATATAATATACTTTTAATTATAGATGCATGCAGTAATATACAATCATCTGTATCATCATTGAAAGATAATTTCGATTTACTAGTAAAAAATCAATTTCTTATGCGCGATTTGTGTACAAATATGAAAAGTGATATAGATGATAAGCCAAATTTCGATATGCCACAAATTAATTTAAAAGCACTGGAAAACATAATTCAAGGAAAGGAAGACGATCCTAAAGATAATAATATATACTGGAAAGTTAATTTTGATCGATTTACTCAAGATTTTAGGTAAATCATTAAGAAATGAAAAGAATTTTAATAATTTTGAATAGATATATTAAATTAATATTTATCGTAGGGATCAAGTTATTGTATCAGCTATACGTACAAGATTTGACGAGGATGCTGGAGAATTAATGAGACAATTACTTTTTCTTATGTATTTAAGAACAGCATCGTGGGCAGATACATCTAATCCAATACCATATATCGAAATAAAAGATGTAGTAAAAAAGTTAAACTATCCAAGGCTTATACAATATCTGGATCAATATTTGAATCTTATAGGTATGGAATAATATAACACAATTCATTCAATTAAATATTATAATAATAAGGTAAATATTGTTTATTTTTATCTGTAGTAACAATATATGATTCTAGATGACGATAAAAGTCAATTTATAAAACGTGTCGGAGATTCTGGAGGTGGACAATACAGTATCAATATGAAGGAAGCTTTTAATCAATTAGCTTGGACAACGTTAGAAAATATCGTAATGGAACGTTTTGGATCGAAAGCTGCTAGAATTTTTCGGTAGTTTATTTAAATTTATTATTGGTATTTGATTTGTCGATCTAATCACACAGATTCATTTTTTTTTCTTTTTTTTGTTTTTTCATTGACAGATTGGTACGTAGTAAAAAATTTGTCGAACAAGAACAGATTCAACAGTTAGCCATGATACCTGCGAAAGAGGCGAAACATTTGACGTACACATTGTTGCAAGAGAATTATTTGCAAATGCAAGAAATGAAAAAGGCTGGTCCTTCGTCAGCACCGACGAAAACATTTTTCTTATTTCACATAGATTTAGATCAGGTTGTCCAAATGGAAATTGAACATTGTTATCACGCTTTGTATAACATCATGCAAAGAAGAGATCACGAAGCGACAAGTAATAAACGAATGATAGACAAACAGTTGCGTATGCAAACGCTAACAAGTAATTTAAAAGAACACGGAGCTACCGAAGAACAATTGGCAGAGGTGTGCATAAATAAAATATATTTGATAATAACGTTAGAGATAATATTTCATAATAATTTATCCTTTTGATAGATCGCCGAAATGATGACACCATCGGAGAAACAGCATTTGGACAAAGTACAACACGTGATTAAGAAATTAGGTGCTACAGAGTTACAAATAGATGAGACTTTATTTTTGTTAACTATGTACGTGCGTTATCACTAATATCATTTAATTTGTTTTGTAAATATGCGATGAATACTGTTAAACATTACCTCATTTTTTCATAATCATTGATAATTAACGTAAGAACCTTTTTTTTATATCATATTGTAAATAATACTTAAACAAAACAAATTGGTTTAAGTTTTGTAGAAACTTAAAATAGTTTAATACAGAATACAAATGCATTGAGATACATAAGTATATATATATATGTATGTGCGTATGTACACTGGAATATTGTAGAAAAGTAAAAAAAAAAAAAAAAAAAAAAAGGAAAAAAAAAGAAAAAAAATTGGTACAAAGGTGGACGCTAAAAAATGAAAAGCAATCGAATATCCTCTTGTATGAAATTTTTTATCACCCGGTATAATAAGTTAAAAATTGAAACGACAAAAGTCATGATAGACAAGTCAAAATGACACATGACTACCTCACGTTAATTAATACATGGGAGTACCTAATGTTACTTTTACTTGGAGATCGATAAAAGTTCTTCGAGCGATCATATCTACGATGAGCATGATCGGTTTGATTATGGTGCTTGCTGCAATAATATGGGCAATAAAACTTAGACGAGACGTCGGCGATTATCTTAATCTCGCAGTGCCAGGTTAGTCGATTCTTCGAAGAGCCCAATTAGAATAAAGATTTCTTTCGTTAATGTAATAGTTAAAAGTGGAAGGATATTTAAATGTAAAGGAAAAAAAAAAAAAAAAAAAAAAAAAAAATTAAAATTATAACGCCGTGGGTTAACGAGCAGATCACGACGAGCAGGTGATGGACACCTCTGGCCAACTGTGATAGTCGTCGCAGCTATACCCTGTGCTCCTGTTTATATACTTGGACTGAAGGCTTATCTTTGTCTTCCTCTTGCCACGTCAAAATCTAAATTCGAAGAGAACAACAGGAACGAATCCAATGACGAGGAAAATTCAGAGGATTCTGAAATTCTAGATTCTGACGACGATGAGGATGACAAAAACAGCGGACACGAAGCCAATCGTATATTATTCTTACATGCAGTCCTCTGTTTGATATCTGGATGTCTCGTTGCTGCCATCAATATTACCTGTTTTCTAAGATCCAGTACCTTTCAACAAAAGATCCGTGATGATAGTATGATCGAAGCTATGGAAAATTATGCGAACGACGATGGAGTTAGATCATGCGTCGATGCAGTTCAAATGGAATTACAATGTTGTGGAAGTGAAGATTATCGTGATTGGTTCCGTGTCAATTGGGTTAAAGAATCAATGGAATATTTTGACTATGAGGATTATAAACGTCAGCAGGAGGGGCAGTGGGTATAATCGGACCGATTATAATCTCTGTTCTATTGATATCGAAACGTTTAAAATACATGATTCGAATTCTTTTTTTTTTTTTTTTTTAGTTTGTATATTGATCGATATATTTTATATTTTTCGAAAGATCGACGAAAAACTATGAAGACCAGATAACGACCATCAAAGATGTACCATTTTCTTGCTGTACCAACAAAATCGTAAAATCCTGTGGACATCGAGAAATCCTTCAAGCTAGTCAAGTTTGTAATTTTGATCAAAATAATGAAGAAACCATTTGGAACGTTGGATGTCGTTCGATTATCATAACGCATGCAAGAGTTATCGGATTTTTTTTAATACTTTTTTTATTATTTCTCTCGCTTTATCAGGTAAACGATATAACGTCTCTTAAAATTTTTACGACAATACCAGAATAAAATTATAAAGTTCGTTTCATTTCTAGTTTATACTAAGCGCACTGTCACGTTTAGTACAGACTGCATACAGCAATGAATTTTATATCGGCTCAGAGAAGATCTATTATCGCGCTTGGATATTTAGTAGTATATCGAGTTCTCATTCAAAGTGTCATGCAAATTTATCGCAAGGATCTGACGAAGAAACCCTAGAAACGCAATCTCTCGTGAAAGAAACATTGGAATCGCCCAACTTTCGTTCTGAGCACAAAGTTAATCATTCAGGCGAATGGAAACGCCAACAGGAACACGAATTTGTATTGACCCCGCGTGGATCGGTACAGCTGATACAGATCGATCGTCTTCGAAAAGCCAAATCCAGTCCAGTTTTATCGAAAAATGGTACGATCGATGGAAACCAAAAGAAAAGTAAAATAAAGATGTATCGTTATTTGCCACTTTCAACCGAGGAATACGATAAAGAAAGATCACTGGAGGATAATAAAATTTTCATTGAAAAAAATGAAAGACCTATAAAAGCGAATTTGAAATCACGAGAAAAATCGACGACCAGGACACCAAACGTAATACTTGCACCTATACCACCCCCATTTCCTCCTCAATCCGAGGAATATAAAGAGAAACGGAATTTTCATGAAAAATCTAACAAAAATGAAGAATTTTTAAGCACGAAGCTTCGTTCTACGTTTCTTCGTTTCTCCACTACCGATAATACGAGAAATAAAGTAGATAAGGAGTTGACTTCGAAACCGAGCAAATTAGATCGAAAAAAATTGTTGGAAAAGTTCGAAAGAATTTTGAATCCCGAGGAAAGAAATCGTAGAGAATCCGGTGGAGCTGATATTCCAAGGTAAAGATTTGATAAGTTAATTTCTTATATTTCTCTCTCTCTCTCTCTCTCTCCCTCTCTCTCTCTTTCTCTCTCTCTCTTTATCATTCTGTTTCAATTAGCTCATTAAAATATAATCAATTCTAATTGTAATCGATCGCACAGATCTTGGGAACAACTGGTCAAACGAAGCATCAATTCTACTGAAAAGAAAATTCACGAAGATCGAATAATTCAAAGTCCAAGATTAAGTGAAAAGAGTAACGTTCTATCAAGATATAATCCAACCGACGCCTACGATCGATTTCGTGGGACATTACAAGACACTTTATCAAGACGAGAGAATCCCAATTCCCAGTTTAATAACGTTAAACGATTCACGAGATCTGGTATATGTGCCTGCTGTGCAAAACGTAATAGAAACTTTAGCAGACCCTCAAAATGCAAAGTTCAACAGACGTCATACGGTTATTCTATTGATCCTGAAGAATTTAGAATTGCTCAACGAAGAAACTTACTCCCAGATATTCCTTGTCCACCAACTCCACCGCCACCAGTATCATTAGCACCGCCATTACCTCCAGCAACTCCACCTTTGCATTCTCATATGTCACCGTGTTATCCAAGACCAACTTTGATCAGACAACAGCAACGAGAACAACGAAGACAACAGCAATGCCATCCATGGAATTTTCGAAGGAATTTTAATTGTAACCATCAACAACCACCGTGGACCTTACCTACCTCATTCGCACGTCCCTCAAACTTTAACGCAAATTCGATTAACAATTGCATACATTGTCAAGGACGAAATTTTCCCACGGCCAGCAAGGGATACACGCCATTCAAGAACGATACGTTTAAAAAGTATCGTCGTTTTATGGATTGAATTAAGATTATGAATCCGATGAAAGATTCTTTTCATTTTTTCCTTTTTTATCTTCTTTCTTATTATCTTTTTGTGGATGGTCTTTTTTTTTGTTTTTATTAGATTTTTAGGAAACAGATCGAAGAAAGGTATATAATATATTCAGAAGATAAAAGGTATAGCGGCAACATACAATATTCTGTTTATTTGCCGAGAAGTAAAATACACAGGCATTTATTATATTATAATAATAATAAGAAGAATAAGAATAAGAATAATAATAATAATAATAATGATGATAATAATAATGTCGATACTGTCGAAGAATTCTTCTTATTACCACGATCTCTGAAATACATCTAGCAACGTATTGGTACTAAAAAGAGATAAGCTTAAATTTAATGGTATATCTCGATTATTTAAATATCCACGCGTGTACGCGTATACGTGTTGTGTGTATGTGCAATTTACACACGTACACGGATAGGCACGAGCACACACTCACTCATCATCCTTCGCTCTCGAGAAACCAATCGATCGATCATTCTTGCTTCTTCTCTCTCACTCTCGCTCTTTCTCTCTCTCTTTCTCTCTCTTTCTCTATGTCATTCGTTTCCTCGTTCTCTCCTATTCGTAGACTAACATAATGTCTCTCGCCTCACCTTGCAACATTTTTGCAATGGTGGTCCCAATAAATCGATCTCGAATTGAACATGCACTCGCAATGAGATCTCAAAATAACGTGGAATTTTTCTTTGTCGATTGTTCTTATCAATTTTACGATACTTGTCTTTCCATTTCCTTTTTCTTTCCCTTTTTGTTTTCTTTTTCCTTTTGCGAAAGTAAAAGAATATACCTCGTTCGAAATTTAAAGTGGAACGAAAATAAAGAGAGATCTCGAGGGAAAAAAAAAGAAAGAGAGAAAGAAAAGAAAAAAAGAAAAAAAAAGAAACGGTAACACGCTTAATTTCCATTCACAGAGTTGAAAATCCAAAAGAGAAAGAAAGAGAGAATAGTTAACGAACGCGAACCTGAAAACTGGGCCAAATCCAACATCGCGAGATAACAGAAAGAAAAAAAAAATAATGAAATATACTCGTCTATTTTCAAACTGACTTAAGTCTCTCTCTCTCTCTCTCTCTCTTTTTCTCTTTTTTTTTTTTTCATTTTAATCCGTTTTGTCAAGCCTGAAACTAACCGAATATATATGTATACATACCTATGTATATATATACGTATATATGTACATATTTGCAATATTCCACGTGCATTGGATCTCATCACGAAAGATAAGAGCTGACATTTTTTATCATTTATCTCTCTCTCTCTCTCTCTCTCTCTCTCTCTCTCTCTCTCTCTCTCTCTCTCTCTCTCTCTCTCTCTCTTTCTTTTTCGCGCTCTCGCAAAATTCGTTGAAGTGTATCGTTAATTAGGAGGCAACCTAATTCGGACAAATTGCAAAACGATGTGCGATGGTTCGACTCGAGAGAGTAACATTAATCTTCGTATTTGTATTCGGTTTGTTCTCTCTTTTTTTTCCTTTTTTATTCTATTTTTTATTATTTCCTTTTTTTTTTTTTCGTTACATTTTTTTTATCTTTTATTTACAATCGCACTTCGTTCGACCTACTATTAATATAGGTTACCAAAAAGTCGGCACATAACATTCATTCTGATCATTTCGATACAAAGACAGTGATCTCTCTCGAGTAACCATAGCTCTCCATCACTCTTTATCACTCTCTTTCTCTTTCTCTCTCTCTCTCCCTCTCTCTTCATTGACCTCATTTTACCCTCCATTCATCCTCTCTCGTGAACTCTTCACTCTCCTCTTTCATTTCGTTCTCTCATTCGTTCCTTTCCTAACACACACACACATATACATAAACATTCTCTCTTTCTATCCTCTCTCTCTCTCTCTCTCTCTCTCTCTCTCTCTCTCTCTCTCTCTCTCTCTCTCTCTCTCTCTCCCTCTCTTTCTTTCTTTTTTCTCTGAATCTAACTCCTCTATCATTCTCTATCTACTCCTTTACTAATGTCTACCTGCATTTTATCTATACATTTGTGAATAGGTATTTAAAAGTACGCGTTTTAAAGAACGCATTTATAATCACGTTAGTTCTCGCTATATAATATATAATATATTTATTCGTCTATCATCGGATTATGAGATGGATGTCCCGAAAATAGCGAACGCAAGGTATTTTTTTCATTTTTGTTTTTGTTTTAATTATGTATGTCTGTATATATGTATATATATATATATATATATATATATATATGTATATGCATATATGTGTATGTATATGTATTGATTTTTTTTTATGTGTCTTCTTTGTTAACTTTTTTTTCTTTTTTTTTTTTTTATTCTTTTTCCATTTTTTGTTTGTTTTTTTTTTCTTCTGTTTTCTTAATCTCTCGTTTATAGGAGACGATAAAGATTTTATAACGACGAAGTTAATGGTATAATATAATCGTATAATAGATAATCAATAATCATAATAATAATATTGCTCGATCCCATATTTTTATGTTTTTATCGCTTTTATATCTCACTTCTTTTATATTAATTCATTATTTTTTAAGTTCTCATCACGTTCTTCGTTTTAATTACACGGTATCAACGACATTAACCGACGCTTTTGAATACATAATAACGATTCTCTAGAATTCAGGAGAGAGCTAAAAAGGGTCTCAGGAGAAAAAGGGACTCTTCACCGTATTATTTGTTTCTTATTTTCTTTTCATTTTCGTTTCTTTTTTTTTTTCAAATCGCGCCCTCTCCACCTACGTACGTACGTGCGTGTATCTTATGTATTACATAATTACATATACAAGCAAGTACAATACACACATTACTCACGCACACGTATAAATATATTTTTATAGTTATATGCATATATGTATAGATATTTATATATGTATATATATATATATATATATATATGTGTATATACATATATATATATATATATATATATATATATATATATAATATATATACACGTAACAATACTTTTCATCATCGATATCGTCATCGTCATCGTTATCTCTATACCTCCTTCACCTATCGCTTTTTTCTTTTTTTTTTTCTTTTTTGTTTTTTTATACTCGATTAACATAAGTCAGAATAATATTTGCTCCCTCTTTCTCTATCTCTTTCTTTATCTCTCCCGACGTACGCAGTATAACGAGATATATACCTCTAACGATCCTCGAGTCGTTCCTCTTTCCCCTCCCGATTTCAATTTTTCTTCAGAACAGGCGTACACACACGCGCGTACATACACATTTATAAAACTACGCGCAGTAACACGTTTCCATAATCGGGATCGCACACTTTATTTTTTTTTTATTTTTTCTTATATCTTCTATTCTCTTTCAATTTTACAATTCTTTTTTTTCTATTTTTTTTTGTTTTTCTTGTTCTTTTTTTTTTTAATATTCTTTTTTTTTTTTTTTTTTTTTTTTTTTTTTTTTTTTTTTTTTTTTTTTTTTTTTTTTTTTTTTTTTTTTTTTTTTTAATTTTTTTAATTTTTTTTTAATCAACTTTGATCGGTACACGTTCGTCCAGCGAAGCGTCCAAGGGTCGCGATCTTATTTGTTAGCCGACATATTCGAGTGGTAAAAAGCAAAAGTGCAATGAAAAGGTTTCATAAATATGTGTGTGTATATACATATTTATGAAACCTGTCCATACATATATATATACATATATATATATATGTATATATGTATATGTATATGTATATATATGTATGTATATAACTCTCTTTCTCTCTCTCTCTCTCCCTCTCGTTCATCCTCTCACATTCGATCTCACATTCTCTCTCTCTCTCTCTCTCTCTCTCTCTCTCTCTCTCGCTTCGCCCTTTTCGCTCCATCTTTCTCTACGTTATTAGTTTGTGCCCAGCTCTGTAGGATAAATAATTTGGTTTTATTTTTTTCTCTCTTTCTCTCTCTCTTTTTCTTATTTCTTGTTTTTTGTTTGTTTGTTATTCTTTTAAGTTCTCTCTTGTTTTCTTTTTTGTTAATTTTGTATGTCCTCACTTCCTCTTTCCATTCCTCTCGATATCAGCTAATTATTGGAGTTATACCTTACTGTGACCCCGGCGCACTCATAAAGCGACGGGCGCATAAACTTTGGGGAAGGTGGAGAACAGCTAACCTCTACGACTTATGTTCGTGTTATATGTAGGATTAATTTTGTACTTATGTGTGCGTATGTCGTGTAAGTGTTCGTTACGTGCACATGTGTCGTGTGATTTTGTTAAGACGATTGAAAAAAGGGAGATTATATTTATCTACAAGTTTTGTTCGGGACAACTTCTCGACGAACATGACGCGTTTTTCTCGTTTAATTTATCAATCTTCATTTTCTTTCATTCTTTTTCTTTTTTTATTTCATTTCTTCTCCTTCTTCTTCCTCCTCCTTCTCCTCTTATTTTTCTTCCTCTTCCTCTTCTTCCGTTCCTTTGGGTTCCTTTCTTTTCTTTTCTGCTATGATATTTTTCTTCTAATCTTCGTAGGAAAATCTTTTGATTTTCCTCCTCCTCCTCGCCTCCTTCTTCTCCTCCTCCTCCTCATCTTCTCCGATTACTTTTCCCCCTTTTTTATTTTATCTATTTCTTCCTATCTGCGGTTCCTCCCCCTTATCCCCACCCCCTTTCCTCGCGCCTGACATCCTTTTTCTTGATCGTATTTCCTCTCGATATTACGTATATACGCGTGCTCGTGTACATATGTATCTGTATGTATGCGTGTGTATATATATATGTCTATGATTATGTAAATTTTCGTATATACGAAATATATAAATACATATAGTGAGAGAGAAAAATGTTTTCATGATGAAAATCGTCATGTACATACATAGATACGTAAATGCACATATACATATTGGGTGAGTCACCTAAGACTAGATCTTAAAATATCTTTATATCGATTTTGATGAGATATAAAAAGAACTTTTGACGTAAAGCAATTTTACTTAGAGCGAATAAATAAGTAAAAAGAGATAGTATTTTTTTTTTTTTTTTTTTTTTTAACCTTTAAAGATTTATATTTTCTTTCAATCGATACGATTTGCAATTCTTCTTTTTTGTTTTCTTAGAAATAGAAATTAATAATTAATTAATAATGTTCTCTTTATTTTCCCTAATTCGTCGGATTCGTTGTGTCTCTATAGATAAAAAGAAAAATCAGAATAATTCAGAATCATTTACGAAAAAAAATCTTAGATGACACATGTATATATGTATATGTATATATATATATATATATATATATATATATATATATATATATTTCCGATACCAAATCGGGGTCACTTTAGGTGACGCAAAGTTTGAAATAAAATAAAAAAAAATAATGAAACAAGAAAAAAAGTAAAAAGAACAAAAAGTCACGAAACTAGAAAGATAAGATCGAACAAACGACGAATATATGAAAATTCGTCGATCCCTTTTTCTTTTTTTTCTTTTTTTTTTTTACCCTAATTATAAAAAAGGCCCAAATTTTATCTTTTCTCTCTCATTAGTCCATATTGTATTGCAATTATTATACATGTTTCCCTGGTCTTTTTTCTCTATCATTATATCGTTTCGCGTGTGTGTATGTTCCATTATCACCTGTTGTTGACATTCTTTAACCCATTGGAGGAAGAAGAACTCAAAGCTCGAGTTCGTGCCGCACGTCTCTCGTTACGCGAGTCGTCCTTCTTTTTCCTTTCTTCCCTGTGTGTTTCTATTTCGTTTTTAAGGATTGTTGTTGTTCTTGTTGTTGTTGTTGTTGTTGTTATTGTTGTTGTGTTATTGTTGTTATTGTGTCTTTTCTTTTTTTTTTCTTTTCATTCTCTTTTATATTAATTGAATTTTCATATACAAGAGAGATAACGCATATTTCAATAGCGCCAAAAATCTAAGATCGCGCTCCCATTAGAATAATAATAATAACAATAATAATAATAATAATAATAATAATAATAATAATAATAATAATAATAATAATAATAATAATAATAACAATGATAACAATAACGATAATAAGGAAAATCTCGTACAATGCGGTCTCGATCTATGTAATTATTTATTATAATTGTTTTCTTTCCTTTTTTTCTTTCTTTTTTTTTCTTTGCTTTTTAATTAGCTTTGTACTCGTTAGAGGATCGTTGAGATAAGAAACTTAACTCTCGTATATTATTATTCTCGCTTATCTCTAACGCGCGTCGTGAGTCGCTTAAAATTTACAATTCTTCTCGGCGTCTACTAATCGCGGATTAGTTCCCGCTGAGAACTCTAATCAAGCGCCGTATATTTAAAGATTTAAAATATGACGCGATTTTAAAGTGTACGACGTGCTCTCGTTGGATAATTTTTACGAGCAAAAAAGATCCGTCGCGAAAAAGATTTTTTTTTTCTAGTTAATTTCTCTTTCTATTTTGCTTATTATTTCGTTTGGTTTGTGTTTTTTTTATTTTTCTTTTTTTTTTTTTATTTATTTTTTTTTTATTTTTTTCAGCGACGTACGGTGGTAAGGTGAACGTGAACGTATAACGTGAGTAACGTGTACGCGTGTGTGAGTTGCGTGTGTATATTACGTGTGTAGAGAGATACGATTAACGAAAAAAGAAGAAAAAAGATAGAAATCGGTTGAGTATAATATAAAAGGATAAATAAATAAATACCTTTTTTTTTTTTTATTAAAGATGGACGGGGATTGGCTAATCGATGTGACAAACCGTTTAATGAATCAGTATATCAAATTGACGGTACATACAATAAGAGAATTGCTATAGTTTCTAATACACAGTTTGACTTAGGAAGCTTCCTTAAGTACGGAAAATTATGATGACAATGATGCCAAACGATATGTTTCACGCGTCTTATTATCGATAAGGAAAAATAATTCATTGGACGATACTACGAATATGAGTAGACATTCTATTTCTTTTTTTTTTTTCTTTTTCTTTTTCTTTAAATTAAAATAATAACTGCGTAAAGAAATAAGTAACATCAGGATAATTGAAAATACTGTTACGTGGCAAAGAATAAATACTAAGGAAAGAAGAAAAATGGACGAATTATCAAGTTTCGAAAATTAGAAATCAAAAGACCCGTAATAAGTCTTATTGATTAACAATTATTCTATGATATTGCTATCCATTCCATTTTGTTCGTCCCTTCGATGATGATAATCTTATCAGCGAATAATAATACAGATATATAGATTAAGAGGGTAATGAGTAAGTAAGAAAGGAAGAAAAAAGGAAAGCGTATACATATGTATGTATAGTGTAAATTGTAAGTATAATTGTGATGGTACTTGTCTTGGTGCTGATTTTTGTATTTTGTTGTTGTTGTTGTTGTTGTTGTTGTTGTTGTTGTTGTTGTTGTACATGATGATGGTATCAGTAATGCCGGTGGCCGAGACGGAGGTGCAGAGAGAGATGGTCGTGAGTGGTTTTTACTTGAGCAGCTGATGGGCTCGCTCGTTGGCCACTTGTATCCTTGTCTCGTTCGATTCGCCCTGCGTGTGAAAAAGATAGGAAAATAAACGGACGAAAAATTATAACGCGCGCGTCCATTTTTATCCATCGAAAATACAAAACGGATCCTTCCAAGTACTCCGAGCGATCATTTCTCTATCTCTCTCTATCTCTCTCGCTCTCTCTCTCTCTGCCTCATTTTTTTTTTTTTCATCTTTTTATATTTTTGCTTTCTTTATTTTTTTTTTTTTTTTTATTTATTTATTTATTTTTTCTTTTATCCGTCACTTCCTCGCGCGGTACAGAACGCAACATTTAACAAGATCATTTCAAAGAGAAAAAAAAATATCTATTTTTCAATATCAATAGATCGCATATAGACGTAATAAAATATGTAGTTACACGATGGGCGTTTATGCATCATGAAATGTGCGACAAATTTATTTTTTACTTCTTCTTCTTCTCCTTTTTCTTTTTCTTTTTTTCGTTTTTAATTGTTTCATTTAATTATCGATCTTCTTATTGTTTTCTCAATTGGCACATCGTTACAACAAACGAACAATTAATCTATTACGAAGAAACTCGGAGATCAGTTAATATTATTCTCTTATATTTATGTATACCTATGAGAAAGATTATTAAATGATTAAATTCTCTATTAGAAAGTTTTTATAAACGCATTAATTTCGTACAATTTGATATTGTGCGAATGATCGAAAAATATCTAGATATAAAATTCAAAAAAGCTTTTTATAAGAACCACGCGAAGAACGACGAAGACGAAGATAAAGGCTTCAAGAGAGTAACAATTCAAATTATTTTTTATTTTTATAATAAATTTCGTATGTTACGAAGAACCCGTTTATTTAGTTAATTTTTTTCATCTCGATTAACAAAGTCAATTATCAAATTATTCACATTCAATTCTCGTTCGACAACAAATAGTCCTCAAACTAAAATAAAAAGATAATTCTAAACCCTATATTTTATGATCATATATTATATATATCTACACATATATATATATATGTTTTTTCTAATCTCGTACACGTTCGACGATCGGATAATCGAATGAAAAGAGAAATTTATTGTAAACGAATATAAATGAAATTATGTTATATATGGATAAGAGTAAAAGTAGAAGAAGAATTAGTATTAGTATATAGAAGATCGAGAAAATTATTGGACGCACGTGACGCTCTTTGACGATTTATTTATGAGGCGTTTACAATCAACGCGACGGCGAGAGAAGAAAAAAGGGGAGAGGAGTCGTATTGTTCGTACGTATAATATATTCTTTTTTCTTTTTTTTTGTTTCTTTTGCTTGCACTGATTTTCTTTCTATCAACCTATATTTTTTTTTTGGATCATATTTTATATTGTTACTTTATATTGACGGGGGGGTAGGAAGAGGCTCGGAGAAGACAGATATATATATATATATATATATATATATATATATATATATATATATATAGATATATATAGATATATATATATATATATATATATATATAGATATATATAGATATATATATATATATATATATATATATAATTTTATCATGTCTATATATATGTATATATAAATATGCGTGATTTTATATATATATATATATATATATATATATATTTCTATATTTATATATTTATATATATATATATATTTCTATATTTCTATATTTATATATTTATATATATATATATTTCTATATTTATATATTTATATATATATATTTCTATATTTATATATTTATATATATATATATATATATATTTCTTTTTTGTGATATATGTATATACCCGGACAGTTGAGTACCACACATTCAACTTTTTTACTTGAGTAAGGCGTGTGCACGTTGATTCGCCACGGCTATCCTCGTTTCGTTCGACTCGCCCTGTGGATTACCAGTTTTCATTTTGGTTACACTAGCGTGTGTTTTTGTGCGTGTGTCGTGCGTACGCACGCGCTTGAGCGTGCTTGGATAAGGAATGGACTTTTGGATTAAGAGGTTAGAGATCACACAATGTGCATGGAAATTGGAAAGTGAGAGATTAAGAAAGCGAAGAAGAAAAGACAACTACGTTCAATATAACTAGGAGAATTATACAAAGCGAGTTTTGCAACGTTTGGCATGTTATAATCGTTTATAATGTTTATAAAAAAATTTTTAAATTAAAAATAAAAAAATAAATAGTAATAATAATAATAATAATAATAATAAAACAATACTTTTTTTTTTATAATTCTTCATTTTCATTCATGATTTTTCATATCAAGTTTTTAAAAAGAAAGAAAAAGTGAAATGTAATTGTTTTTGAAAATTGATTTCAATAATCTGATTATAATAATTGAATCTTTTTTTTTTTTTTTTTTTTCAAGCGCGTAAAAGCAGTTAATAAGAACAATCAGATAAATCGTGCGGTGCTAGTGCTCAAGCTCATATCTATGCTGATGAAAACGAGACGAAATAATTTTCTTCTCTTCTTTTCTTTTCTTTTGTTAAATTTTTTTATTGTTTCTTTCAAAGGAGTTCATATTTTGCAATAGCCATACGTTAATCCAACAATCGTCTCACTTTTATCAAATTGGGATACTGGATCAATGATACTTCTATCAGCGATCTTTTTTTTTTTTGCGATAGTTACGAACATCAATAAGGAAGGAGGAAAGTTTAATCGACGTGAGAAAAGAAAGAAATGGATTCGTTAAAGAAAATTGCTACACTTTCCAAAGAAAATCCATATATCCAAATTTCCAAAGAAAAGTTTCATATATTTTCGTAAGAAGAATTCTTTTTTGCTTTTTTTTTTTCTAATCTCTCTTAAGAAATAATGAGTATTACGGTAAATTAATTACAGTCAACCGTATGCAACTAAATTTGCTCGCGTGTTGCAATTTTCTTCTTTGGTTATATAGTTTCACGTGATATGAGGACAAGTAGAAAGATAAATAGATAAGCAAGGAAAGAAAGAGAAGGAGATAGATAAATAGAGAGAGGGAGATAGATAAATAGAGAAAGAGAGAGAGAGAGAGAGAGAGAGAGAGAGAGAACATATAAAGGACGACAACGAGATAATGGAATGGCAAAGGATAGGGAAATTACTTACCATCGTGCTCTTGATTTTTTCAAATGATTTTTCTCTGGGAATATACAGGTACTAGGTGAATTTACGAATACTTTTTACGAACACACTTGAGAATGCACGATGTAAATTTTATTTTCTTTTTCTTCTTCTTTTTTTTTTTTTAATCTCATTTGTTTCTTTGTTTGCTTCTTCAAAGAATTTGATGAATAAGATAAAAGGAAATGTTAATTTATGCATTATTATAGAAAGAGTCACACACAAACACACACGCATTTTGTAGAAATCTTTACTCGTATTTGTCTCGTATTTGTAAAATATAAAATATTGCTTGGAACTCGAATGGGTGGTTTCCTTTGAGCGGTCGAGCGAATTCCTTTTAATTTTTTCGTGCGATTTTAAAAAGCTTTCGTACGAATTTTGATCACATCACGTTTCTTATATTCTTTCTTTATCGCATAACATACGATTTAATGTATCTGATTTTCAAAAAGCAAAAGATAAAATAATAAAAAAAAAGAAAACTTATTGTCGATATAAAGAATGAATATAAACACACTTCTGCCGTACATGTAATGCTTTTTACGACAGAGTAATAAAGTAATCGTAAATTTGTACTCTTAAGTACATAAATATTTCTTAGACTTAGACTTTTCTTTTTTGCATTATGAAATTTCGAACAAACGACGACGGATACTATGCACTTTCTTTGAAATTACGTATCTCATAGGAAACATTAAGGAAAGGTCGAAGGATCGAAGGAATAAGGAGGGGAAAAAAATATCCATGGGAAAAGGTCAGAAAGGAAACGTTAAGAAAGCGAAAGCAACGACGAACGTGTGCATCGTTCCGGTGAACGCGTGCATCGTGAGAGATAGAAAAATTCGCACGTGAGATACGCTCCGTAAAATAAAATGAAATAAAATGAAATAAGATGAAATGATATAAAACAAAAAAACAAAAAATTATATATATATATAATTAAAGAAAAAGGAGGATATGGTAATATAAAAGTAAATAATAGAAAGAAGATCGTAAGAAGAAAAAGAGACGAAAGTAACGGTGATTAAGAGAAATACTCGTCCTACCTTCCGGTTGATCCTGTCGATTTGTCGATTTTGATTCTCGAGCTCGCTGCCCATATCGATAGCCATGTTTCTGAGATTCCCAATCATCGTCGATACCTGACCCATATTGTCTTCCATTTCGTTTTCACGCGCATCGTTCGTGATCTTAGCGATGTAGCCACCCTGAGGGCCGAGTCCATTGCGTTCATCCATCACGCGTTGAGGCTGATTATTAACGACCTTACCGTCGTCGTTACCCTTCCACGTTCCTTCGTCCTCTTTGAAACTTGCACTCCTGTTGTAAATGAAAAAAAAAAGAAAAGAAAAGAATAAAATAAAATAAAATAAAATAAAAAAGAAAAATAAATAAATAAATAAATAAATAAATAAATAAAAAAAAAAAAGAAACAGAAAACACAAATACAATTGACACTTTTCGTAGAATTGATTTTCAAAATCGTGATTAACGATTCGAGATATTTTTTCATATAAATATAAATGTCAAGTGAAAATGATGAGTTGATGAGTAAACTAAAGAGGGACTTTTCTCTTTTTTTTTTTTTTTTTGTAATCTTTTCTTTTTTTTTTTCTTTTTAAAAACGAGAGAGACACAAAAATGGAAAATAATAGGGAGAGAGAAAAAAAATAAGAAGTGATTTATGTAATGTAACAGTCGTACTTGTTACACGGGAGAACGCAGAGACCACAGCATTTTTCCATCCCGGTAAGATTCTTCTCTGCTTCTCGCATGTCCGCATTGATCTGGTCCATGCCCTCCTCGATTCGATCCAATTGCTCTGTTTTGTCGTACAAAAGGAATAATGTTATAGCGTACACGAAAATAATATTTTTAGGCACACCGATTTTGAAGAAGGAGGGACGTGTGTCGCGCGTGTACCATATAATATAATATACAACATACAATACTTCTCTCTCTCTCTCTCTCTCTCCCTCCCTCTCTCTCTCTCTCTCTCTATCTCTTTCTCTCTCTCTCTCTCTCTCTTTCTCTTTTTCTTTTCTTCCTTCTCATTAATGTGTTAAAGGCGACTAATTAAAGTTTTACGCCGCTCCTTTTTCAAACGAGAGACTCTTTCCGTTCTCTCCGGAAACAAGCGCAGTCTTATGGAATTTCAAGAAACAAGGCTATACCGGCATTCATTGTAAAATAATTAAGAACTAAGTACAAAAGTAATTAAAAAGTTAACGACGGAAATACGTGAAGTAGCCTCGTTTCTTATTCCAACTAGACGATTTTTATTCTACGAGAACGGTCTCGTTAGGAAGGATCATTCAATTTGAGAAGAAATTTAATAGAAAAAAGAAAAAAAAAAAAATAAAGAACTTTTAATCTAAGATAATGGATCAAATCTCGAAGATGTTCCCTTAAAGTACGTGACCGTTATCGATAAATAATATCATTCATGTTGTACGTTTGCAACGAAAGCGCTACGATATAATATGTATTTCTTGGCTGTTCAACAAAAATCTTATACTACTGAATATATATATATATATATATATATATATATATATATATATATATATACTAATATATATATATACTAATATATATATATATATATATATATATATATATAAGTTCCTACGGTTCGAGTAATTGATTTTGTGATGTATATATAATATAAACATATAGTGGGAATATGTCAAATGGATTTGAGGCATTGGAATTGAGAGCTTGGTTAGAGTTTAAACGCAGAATTTCACGGATATGTGTACGACTCTCTGAAGATTCACGATATGTATAAATTATGGATATCTCGTCGGGCACGGGATAGTGTAACGATAAGTTTGTTTCGTTTCTTTCGCTTTTTCTTTTTCGTTTTTAGTTTCTCTTTCTTTTTTTTTTTGTTTTTAGAAAATTACATCTATATATGTTCGTTCGATTTCGCAAATCTACACGAGCGCATAGTAGTAGTAGTAGTAGTAGTAGTAGTAGTAGTAGTAGTAGTAGTAGTAGTAGTAGTAGTAGTAGTAGTAGTAGTATTTCGAATTGTCGGAAGTAGAGTAGATAACAGTTGGGTGTCCCTCGTAAGCGCGAAGAAAAAAATTAAGGTACAAAAATGGGGGCAGTAGGTAAGAGGGTGATACATATATATATATATATATATATATATATATATAAAACAAGAAAGAAAGAAAGAAAGAAAAAAGAAATCATGTAAAAAGAACGTAAAGTCGGTCAGTGAAGGATTTTTATTTGAGGGAGATAAGAAAAATAGAGAAGGGAAAAGCCGGAGAGAGAAGTGGAAAGAAGAGAGAAGGAAAAGAGAAAATGTTTATAGAATGAAAAGAGAGAGAGAGAGAGAGAGAGAGAGAGAGAGAGAGAGAGAAAGAAAGAGAGAGAGAGAGATTGATTGATAGAAAAGTAAAAAAAATCAAAAAACCTTGGAAATATTACAATGGCAGTGTTGTGAATGTGGCGGTGAGATTAGAAAATGTTTCGGGAACGATTATATGTCGATGAACGTTTTAAAAAACTCTTTTTTGTATTATTATTATTATTATTATTATTATTATTATTATTATTATTATTACTATTATTATTATTATTATTATTATTATTATTATTATTATTATTATTATTATTATTATTATTATTATTATTATTATTATTATTTCTAATTAATCATCCGAAGAGTATAGCATCGCGTTGGAGCTGTAATTTGAAGTTTATTCGCGACGTTGAACGTATGTTTGTTGTCCGATAGTGTGCGCATACATATATATCGATAATTAATTTACTTATTTCTTTTATTTAATTGATTTCTTCTTTTTCATCGTTTTCTGTCTCGCGCGATACACGTTATATGTATTTTCATTATCATCAACATCATCGTCTATTGTTATTAGATATTATTATTATTATTATTATTATTATTATTATTATTATTATTATTATTATTATTATTATTATTATTATTATTATTATCATCATTATTATTATTATTATTATTATTATTATTATTATTATTATTATTATTATTACTATTATTATTACTATTATTATTACTATTATTATTTTTTTTTGTTTATTCATAGTATTATTATTATTATTATTATTTACAGATTGACTGACCGATTGAGTAAGAGTTGCGTACATATATATATATATGTATATATATATATATATATATATATATATATATATATATATGTATATATATACATATATGTATATATATATGTATATATATATGTATATACAATATTAAATATCATATATATAGAAAAATTGAAGTACTTTTGGTCTCTGAGGCGTGTGTTTATAAAGGAATTAAGATTACGTCTACATTGAAATGGCTTACCGCCTTGCTCGTCCAGCATAACGAGAGTTTTCATCCCGACCTCGTGGCTCTAAACAGGCAACCGATCAATCAGCGGCGTGTTAACATTAAAGAAAAATTAACCGTCGACGCTCCCTCGCTTCGCTTCGCGGTCTCGTTTTCTTTCCCATATCGGTGAACACGCCGAAGGTGATTTAATACGGTGGTAAACGGGGTGGGAAACGGGGTGGGTGGAGGGAGGGATTAAAGATGCGGATAGAATGAGGAGAAGAAGAATGGAGAAATAAGCGTCGTGACAATGACACGCGTCTCGCGATGATCTTTTACGATGAATAGAACAAATTTTGTGAGCCTAATTTCGATAAAAGTGCTATATACAATATTCGATGAATAAATATGATACTACTGTCGATATGAAATCCGATAAGAAGAGCCAATATATCGAAACTAAGATAGATAGATAGATAGATAGATAGATAGATAGATAGATAGATAGAGAGAGAGAGAGAGAGAGAGAGAGAGAGAGAGAGAGAGAAATAGAATGAAAGAAAGAGAGAGAGAGAGAGAGAGAGAGAGAAAGAGAAAGAAAGAAAGAAAGAGAAAGAAACACGCGCACGTAATCGACGAACGAGCGAGAGGGCGCATACGACGAATGTTTTGATCAGCATTAATTAATTCTAATACGCAATCATGGATGACAATTCTAAAGGTGTCGAGATAGATAATGTGAGACAGATAGAAAGATAGAAAGATAGATAGACAGATACATAAATAGATATACAGATAGATAGTCAGAGAGAAAGACAAAGAGTGATAGATAAATAGATAGATAGATAGATAGATAAAGAGAGAAACAGATATAGATTGATAAGAAGGATGATACGATCTAGGATTTACCAAAAGATTTAAGGTAAATCCATTGATCCTTAGAAATAGATACATGGCTATCGAATTAAATAATGTCGACACTTAAAATTTAGTGAAGTGAATATCGTCCAATTGAGCACGTTCTTTTCTATATTTTTAAGAATCAATCGTCGCGATTACCTTGAATGTTGAGTTTTTGCTTTGCAAGAAAAAAAAAAAAAAAGAACAAATCTTGAAGTATCATTAATAATTGCAATATCACTCTTAATTGTTATTTTTATAACGATGAAAAATATTAATCTCAATCAATAGCCAGGCATCGAATGAAAATAAGTAATGAACGGCGGCGGTTCTTCAGAAAGAATGATAGAAATAGTGGGCGATGATTTCCTTTTCCTCTTTATTTTTTTTTTATTTATTTTCTTTTTTTTTTTTTTTAATTTTTATTTTTTCCCTATGAGACTTCCTCGCAGATAGTAAGACTAAGCTGTAATTATTAGCGGGTGTAATAAAAGGATGTATTACGCATGAGGGATAATGATTCAATAGACACAAGGACTAATGGAAAAAGACAGAGGTAGTAAAATGGAGATGATAATTAATCGGATAATTAATATCCAATTAGTTGATAAGTAATTACACATCATTGAGATAGACATGTGATTGTAATCCGTTTACGTTCTTTGAGCTCTCTTCGATAGCTCGAAATTCAATTCGCCCTCCTGATGCAATAAAAAGAAGAGAATGAATAAAAAAGGAAAATTCATTTTTTCTTTTTCTTTTTTTTTCTTCTTTTTTCTTTTCTTTTTTTTTTTCTTTTTTTTCTTTTTTAAGAACGAAGGAAAGTCGTAAGTACTACGAATATTCTAATTGTAAAAGCATACTATAGTATATTCTTCTTACGGCATATATTCCTACGTTAATTAAAGGACGGGGATTATTAATTAGATGCTCGTCGCACGATATAATTTTTCTCGTAATAATCGTAACCATAATCAGGAACAAAAAAGAAAATAAAAAAAGAAAAACGAAAGAGAGGGAAAAAAAATTAAAATTAGCAAAGAAAAGAGACAACTTCGACGATTTTTCCTTTCACCTCTCATCCACATTATGTTTTTTTTTTTGGTCTCTCTATAAAATTCCAAGTCTTCAATCCTCTTATCCCTTCTTTGCTTTTTCATTTCGTTCAATTTAAAGAGAAGTTTTAATACTTGGTGATTACTGCTTACCGCCTTGGTGGTCTAACATCATCAGTGTGTTCGCTGCGACATCCTCGCTCTATGATGGGGTCGAAAGGGCCCACACGTTAACGGAAATGAAAGATCTTTGAGTGATTCGTGTGAATAACTGGAAAATTATACAAAACAAGAAAACACCGCGTGCACGTCCTGTCAATGGCTATTATATATTAACAAAAGAAAAAATAAAAAAAATAAAGAAAATTAGAAAAAAAGAAAAAAAAAACAAAGCTATTGTGGACTATAATGATCGATAGTTCGTATAAACTCAATTAACGATGATACAAATTATATAAAATAAAAATAAAAGCCAAATGAGAAAAGAAATCTTAAGACAAGACGTACCACGCTGCTATAAAAAAAAAAAAAAAAGAAAAAATTTCGCAACAAAAAGAATATATATATATATATATATATATATATATATATATATATATATAACGTGTAAAAGAATATTTCGAGCAAGATGGTCATCTAGAAATAATTCACAAGTCAAACGAACAGTCACTATCGTTTATTAATATATTAAATGTTGCCATATAATTAACATACCGACATTGGACCATCTTGTTCGGCAAAATTATAATAATAATATATCGAAAGAAGATAATGGAAAATCAATTGTAAGTAAAATTGTATAAACAATAATAATAAATATGATAATAAGTCGATGATGAAGATGATAAATACGAGTATCTGATATTATGAATGTAATAAATAAGATACACATAAACCGAGCGATCGTGGCAAAAAAAAAAGAGAAAAAAACAAAAAAATGTGAAAAATCGATACGAATCGCGATTGACCGATGCTTTTCATTGATTATTCAGAAATATTCTTTAACGGTGCACCGTGACGATCTATCTAATCGCGATTGCAATAAATTGTTCTAATCGCTTACAACGTGCCACCATATATGCTTTCGCTTCTTATAATGCAAAACACGGACTTGAACTAATACCTACGTGATAAGACAACGGTTGACAATAGTACGTTTGAGATGCAGAGGTTCAACCAAGGATTGAAAAAAAAATAAAAGAATAAATATATATTATATATATAATATTATATATATATATATAAAATATATAATAGATATTATATACGACAGAGACAGACATCTACCTCTAAGACGTGTACGAAGTATGTAAATACGGTTTCGGGGATTTTACACTAAATAAACGTAATATATGTACACATATACATATACATATACATATACATATACATATACATATACATATACATATACATATACATATACATATACATATACATATACATATACATATACATATACATATACATATACATATACATATACATATACATATACATATACATATACATATATATATACATACGAATATATAGGCTTGTAAATATATTATACGTATACATATATATATAGAGATATAATATACGTAGGTATTACACGTTGACTCAAAGCAACACAGCTAAAAGCTTTCGTGTGAGGCTACAGAGAGTATATATATATATAAGTACACAATCCAAAGAAGAACATGTGTAGTATTTGTGAAAAGTAAAAAAGACAGGGGAAATTTAATAATACATACGTATGCGCCTGCAAGATATATGCATACACATATACGATTACACTATATATATATATATATATATCACACGCTTCATGTTATTTATTATTTGTGCGGGCATAGAGTACTAAAGAGAAAAGCGCGAGGAAAATTTCAAGGACAAAACTTGGACAAGGTTGGTCCTTGGTCTATGGTCTTTACATCGGACATTCTCTTTTTTTTTTTTTTGTTTGAACGAGCGAACTTTTCGTAGAAAAAAAAAAAAAGAAAAGAAAAGAAACGAAACTTTAAAGAAATCTTCTTTTTTAAATAAAGAAACAAAAAGGCAAAGAATAAAAAGAAAATAAATGAGGAGAAACACATAGACGGAGGAGGGCAACAAGTGAAAAGTTAATATTGTTTTCCCGATCAATGAGGGCTGGACGAAGAAAGAAAAAAAACAAGAGAAATAGATAGAGAGATAAAGGTTTTAAATATTGAAAAACGGGATAATCGTTTGTTCTTTCTTTTTCTTTTTTTTTTTTTTATGTATATATATAGATACCAATACTGGCAATAGCAGCAGCAGCAGCGATAGCAGCAGCGGATGCTAATAAATACTGAGATAGACCACCGATGCTAATTGTTAGTTGGTGTCGTTATCGATTTAGAATAATTAATCATTACTACTGATTAATTAGGTTTATTCTAGCAGTGTCGTAGTGTGTCATGATTGGTAGATTGTTATTAACGTTAGTAACAGTAGTTTATATAGTTAGTGATAAGGCGGTGTTAAAAGGGTATGCTTTAGTAAATATACAAAAGAGGTGGGGGGGCGGTCTGGCTGGGGCCAAAAAGTGATTAAATGGAAAGGGAACGTAAGTATTAAAATAAAAAAAAAGGAAAAAAAAAGAAAAAAAAAGTACCAACTACTTGCAATAGTGATAAGAGTATTAATAAATATATAGTCTATATGTATAACGAAAAAACCTGTTTAGTGGCAGTTGACTGTTCGTTTATCGTTGAATCGCATTTCGGGATCGTACTCTGTCTGATAATAAGAAAAAATGAAAATATTTTCTCATAGAAAAAAGAAGAGAAAAAATATCTTACCGATTTGTCCAGCTCTCTTAACCTTACCGCTTATAAATATATAATGTAGATGGAAAAAACGTGACTTGAGAAAATTATAAAAAAAAAAAAAAAAAAAATAAAATAAAATAAAGAGAACAATTAATGTGAACCGATTGTTCGTGAGTAACATTGACAACAACGGGTTACTCGTAAAAAATAAAGTACTGCTCTTACTTCACATCTAACATATTTTCAATGACGAAAAAAAATAATATTAATAATAACAACAACAATAATAATAATAATAACAATAATAATAATAATAATAATAATAATAATAATAATAATAATAATAGAAATAAAAATAGTAATAATAATTAGAATAGTGTAATATAAATCGTGTTACGACTACATTATCGAACGAGCGCGAGACCAAAGAAATTCTGCGTATTCGTTGTCTCCATGTTCTACAGCTGGTCGTACTTTCACTTTTTGGATTTATTCCAGATACAGGGATGATGGGGGGAGAGGCCAGATTGCGGATTCGTCATAACGAACAAATCTCGCGGAATAAGTAAATATCACGAAAGAAAGAAAGAAAAAGAGAGACAGAGAGAAAGAGAGAGAGAGAGAGAGAGAAAGAGAAATAGAGCTATTAAGATTAATAGTAGTAATTCTTCTCCCTCATCCAGCCACCCTCTTCCCCTTTTCTCGATTATTTCGACGTGTTTATTCTCATGAAAGATTTCTCATCTTTTTTTCTTTCTCGTTTAACGTTAAAAATTACTTTTATAAGAGAAAGAGAAATAGATTAGTAAATATATAAATATGTACATTGATATATATATTTATATATTTATGTTAGAGGAAAAAGACAGAGAAGATAGAAAAATAGAGATAGAGTGGGAGAAAGAAAGTGAAAGATAGAAAGATAGAAAGACAGAGACAGAGACAGAAATAGAGAGAGAGAGAGAGAGAGAGAGAGAGAGAGAGAGAGAGAGAGAGAGAGACAGAGCGAGAGAGAGAGAGAGAGCGAGAGAGAGAGAGAGAGAGAGAAAAAAAAAAGAAATAGAAAAAGATAGAGATAATTAAGTAGAAGCTTGTGTGTAAGTTTCGTTGTAAGTTTCGTGTAGATATATATGAGTTTATCTTGACTTAATTGCTAAAAAGCGATTCCACTCACCTCCCTGGTCATCGAGCGCGACCAGAGTGCGGATGCCAGCCTCCTTGCTCTACGACAGACAGAGGCAGCACAACACAGACAACCACCACCAGTGTTAGTGAATTGTTTTTAGTAGTAGTAACAGTAGTAGTAGTAGTAATTGTAGCCCTAATAGTAACAGTAGTAGTAGCTGTTGTATCCGTATTAAGTAAGTAGTTCCCGTCACAGTAGTAAGTAGTTCCCGTCACAGTAACAGTAGTAGTAATAGTAATAGTAGCAGTAGTAATAGTAATATTAGTAGTAGTAGCAGTAGCAGTAGCAGTAATAATAAATAGTAGAAGTTATAATAGTAGTAGTAATATAGTAGTGGTAGTAGCAGTAGCAGTAGTAGTAAGTATACAGTAGTAGTAATATTAGTAGTAGTATTTTTTCAGCGATATACAGCGTAGGATATCGGGAAATATATATATATATATATATTATATGTAAATATATATACGTAGAAAAAAGATACGGAGGAAGTAACATAGAAGTAAATGGACAGACGAGCGGAAAAGATGGACGATCGTAAAAAAAAAAAATCCGGGCGTATAGAAATAGGTGTTTGGTTATTGAGAGGTAATGGGGTAGTAGTGGGTGATAGGGGTGTTGGATCTTACGCGTACCAATAGGTTCTTTTTACGAGTAGTGAGGGTAGAGTACAATCTTTCTTATTGTTTTCCATTTTTTTTGTGTCCGTTTTCTTCGTGCGGTCTTGTTAAAAAAATAATCTCGGCCTGCGTTGACAAAACACGAAATGTTGTCGCTTCTGACGCGTTTACGGTGGCGAATCTGCCTGTGAATTTTAGTTTATTTTATTTTATTTTTTTTTTGTTTTTTTTTTTTTTATATATATCTTTTTTTCAACAAAGCGAGAGAGAGATATATATGTATATATTTATATATATATATATATATTATATATATATAGAAAGAAAGAGAGAGATAGAGAGAGGTAGTCGAGTTAAATGGACAGACAGATATAGACGACAGACAGGCAGACAGACAGATAAGTCAGGCAGACAGGCAGGCAGGCAATAAGAGTATAGGGTCCAGAGAGTATATATATATTATATATTATATATATATATATATATATAATATATATGGCGATATATATATATATATATATACGTGTGTGTATGAATCTCATATTATATATTAAGATATATATATATTTTTTTGTATGTATATATCAGACTTGTTATTATTAGTTGTAGATGTTCTTGA